TGGGGTTCTTTCAGAAGGTCACGCAGACAGCTGTGGGTTTTATTGTGCACCTCATGAGCTGGAGAGCTTGGAGGCAGCTTGGTATCCAGGAGGCAGCAAACATCCATGGGACACAGACTCCCGGCCCCCAGCCTGTGCTCCTGGGATGTTCACAGGGACCAGCTGATCCATTCCAGGTCACTTCCATGCCCCAGATTGCCCTTCTGACACCCCTCAGTGAGAGCTCCTAGGTCCATGAAATTGCCCACTGTCTTCAGGGGTAGTGACTGAGCTTAGACGTGGAGTGGACCTCGGGGTCAGGGGACTGGCAGGGTCCCAGAAAGAGGCAGAGCGAGGTCAGTGCCGTGTGGGGAAGAAGCAGGCTGCCAAGCTGGTGGAAAGCCCCTTCCTTCTCCCTCTCTGCGCCCATGAGTTGGTGCTCATGGACTCTGGTTCCAGATTTGCCTTTAGGAATATTATAGCACCATAGGAAATTGGCCCTACTAGATTTTAACATGAAGTCTCCCCTGCCATTTCCCAGCCCCTCAAACCCTGCCCCAGCAAAACCAGACCCAAGACCTCTCCAGACCCCACAACAGCCCTCTGACCCCTTTGCCATTCTTCAAATACTTCCCTATAGGTGGGGGCTAGGGAATGGGCTGGGTAATCAGGGAAGGCTGCCTGCTGGAGGGGGAACTAACGGGTGGGTAGAGATAGGAAAGAGGCTGAAGGGGAGAACAGGGAGAGAAGGGGGCTCTGCCAGGCTCCCAGCTCTGCTACCCATCCAGCAAGCCCAAATCCCCCCCATCCCCGTGGGGTACTGCTGGCCCCCTAGCTGGAGGAATGGATTCCCCCATGGAACCAGCTCCTCTACCAGGCAGGACCACATCCTCCCCACCCATACCCTGGGGAGGAGGTGGAGTGACTGTCATGTTTCCCCAGCCAGCCTATGAGCCCACAAGGCCGACAACTTAATCAACCGCTGTGCCCTCCCTTTTGCCCGCCCTCCCGGCTCTGAAAATAATCAGGATGGCGTCACCGCTTCAATACCACGCGCTCCTCCAGCCTGTGTGCCTATTGTAGCTGCACATAAAAAAATCAGATACACCCATGCCTGCTTCCCTTGGACAGCCTGTTGGATTTTTTTTGTTGTTGTTTTTAATCAGGTGGTCCCTTGCCCCTAGCTACAATCGTGAATCCTGAGCAAGCAAGGCTGAGAAATGGCCCTGTTAGCAGAGACCTGGAAGCCCCATGGCCAGGCTATGAATTCCACTGGAGACTGCATTTCTGGCCCAGGATGGCCACGTGTGGTGTGGCAAAAAGACAAGGAAAAAAAAAAAATCAGCCTGGGGGGGGGGAGGGGTTCCTGGCTCTCTGCCCAACTCTGGTGGAAGGTTGCTCCTTCCTTTGGAAAGAAGAAAAAAAAAAAGAGTTGAACTAGATCAGCATTTTGCAATCCATGGCTCACATTAAAAAAAAAAAAGTAAAAAGAAAGGAGTGGTAAGGGGTGAGTTTTGTTTTGTTTGTGTGTGATCACACCAAATGTGTGCTACAGACATAATTATGTGCTCATTAGAATGAACTTGTATTTCTTCCTGTGAGTTATGTGGCCTCAGTGGTCCCTAAGGGCCATGGGGCTTTCAAAATGTCCTAACTTCTAGAGCTTGAGCTCTTCCTCCATGAAACGTGGCTGGGTTCGCTACATGGACGGATAATCAAAACTGTAGATTACATGGTAAAAAAAAAAAAAAGCATATCTCAAACATTATCTAAATACCCTGTCTAAAACCTGGGTGTCACAAATAATTTGGCCTTCCAGCTAGAAATGGGATCTGCAACAGGGGATGGCCCATTTTAAAAGCTGACCTATTTAAAAACCCATGAGCACCAAAAAACACAGGGTCAGTTGGATTCGAATCTTTTCTTCTGTGCAAAGACTGGAACCTGAAAACCAAATTGGGCAGGGACCCACAAGGTTGAGGGCAAAGCTAGGAACATTTATTGGATTCTTGCACAGTGAAAAAAAGAAAAATCAAGGTAGGGAGAGAGATTGGTGTTGAAAACCAGCTAAACAAACTGTAGTGTAAGATCCAGACACCTCCGTGGAGACATCACAGGCAGCGTTGAGAGTGGCATCTGGCTGTGGATAAAGCGACCTTGAGCTCCAGGATGACATTTCAACCCAGGGGACAGGCATTGCTGGCTTTGGGGAAACTCGGAAGCCCCAGGACATGATCCAGGCTAGCAAACAGACAGTGTGATTGTAGACAGTGTGATCGCAGAGCCTGGGCGGCCTCTGCAGGGACGGGATAATAAAGAGGACCATACCCAGTCGGAACTTCCTTCTCCCTGGTTCCTTTCTGGACAGGATAGTTTTAGGCCCAGGCTGTCCCTTTCAGTCAGGGCCTGCTGTGAACCACACACAAGTGCTGCTCTAAGCCTCAGATTCTCCAACAGCGACCCATATCCTCATTTCGCGCTGTTCCTGGAGGTTCTTGGCCACACCAGTTGTGAGTGGCACCTTCTTCCCTCTCTATCTGGATCCCTTCTGTCATCCCACACTGCCTGTCTTATCAGGCGGGGGCCATCTCCCAGCCTGAGTCCTGCTGCCTGGCACCCTGGGGCAGAACAGGACCCTGACCTCAGGGCTCAGTGGCCTAAGCTCTCCTCAGGAGGAGGCCTGTGTGGAGAGGGCAGGAGGCTCTTTTGCAGAGCCTTGGGTCACATCAGGAGTGTCCGCCTGACCCGACACCTGTGTCAGCCTTGAGTTCACACCCAGTGTTGCTGCCCTTGACCAGAGGTGGGCTTCATGCGGCTTTTCCCCACCTTGAATACCTGGAGCATGGACAGTGTGCCTGGGCTAGCCTGGGCTAGCATTCCTGATACCCAGCATGGTGCCTGGTAAACAGGATGTTTGCTCAGCATTTGCTCTGGAGCCCCCCCCCCTCCCGCTAGGCTGATTATAGGGGACAGTGCCTGACCTCCAAGAGTGTCACATAGCTTAGGATGAGATTAAAGGATTCACTCAGCAGCTGCCCTCTCTGCCTGGGATGCTCAGGGGGTAGGAAGGCTGGGGCCTGGTGGATTTGCAGAGGGAAGGCAAGAGGGCAGGCCCCGTAGATCATGCTTAGAATCTTGACTGCTTAGAAACGTGTGTTCAAAAGCCCAGTGTCCTTTCTGGGTTACCATTTGTACATCGTGGCTTAACAATTGTCAGCACCTCCATTCTCCAGAGCCAGAAGCCTGGGGTCCTAGGGACAGACATGGGGCCAGTTAACTCCCTGGTCCCTGGCCTCCAAGACCAGGCTTTTTCCCAGTAGGCCGGACTCCTCCTAATGTCTTGTCCCTGAGGCCACAGAGACCTCATTTCCAAGACGGAATAAGGCTGGAATGTAACTCGAGGTGACAGGGACCAGGCCGCAGTGTGGGAAATGTAGAGGAGAGGTTAGATCTGAGAAATCTGCAAAGACAAGGCTTCTTCATAGTTTTGGAAGAAACCAGTAACTTGTGCCTTAGAGCGATGTATGGAGAAGCCCGGCTTAGGGGACATCTTTCAAGAAATGGGGAGCCGGGCTTGTGGGGAGCTCCCTCCGATGCCTTCTGCCCAGCTCTGGGCAGGACGAGCAATGTGACCATGTTACAGTAACCGCTGCTGGATATTTCGCAGCAGCCGGTGGAATTGGGGGGAGCGCCTGAACCCAAAGTACAAATTTTCAGTTTAATTTTAACCTTGCATTTCGCTCACACCCGGGCTTGGCAGGGGAAATGGGCCTTAATTTTTGTTGTTGTTGTTTGTTTCCTTTTTTAAGCAGAGTTCACCCCGTCTGGGAACGAGCTGTCCTGCTAGGCTACCGCACAGAGGAAGTGGGGGGGTGGCTGGAATGGCGCACCCCAGGCCTGACTGGAGGGGGGAGAGCGGGGTGACTCGCACTGGGGGTGTAGGCGGGGCTGGTGCGGTTGTTTTCTCCTGTTCATTTTATTTTAGACACCCCTCCCACCCCCCCCATTGTGACACCACTTGGTTCGAGCTTTCTGGTGGTGTCAGGATTTGTGTGCCCTGGACCCCTGTTTCCCTAAACCCTCTGCCTATCCCTTCAGAAATGCAGGCTTCCCACAAGTGGAGTTGTCTCTGCTGTTTGGGGAAGAGCTAAATGGAGGTTCCAGATATCCCCCTCCATACTTCTGATGTCTTGAAAGTGTAGCCAAGGCGGGGACATGGGAGACTACGGCCCCCACGCTGGAATGTCAGAGATGCATCCTAGGCCCCTCCAAGGTCTGGCCAGAAGGAACTGTGATCAGTCCCTGATTAGCCCAGGCACCTGCGGTTTGGCTGGGGGCTAGCCTGGGGAGCACTGTCAGCTGAGAGAGTGGCGCTGGATGGTGAAGGGGCACAGGCTCTCCCGGACACACAGTCTTCAGGCTCACACGCAGCTAAGGAATAGAAACCCAAACGTGGGGGTGGGGAAGACAGGCGCCTTGAAATGTGGCCAGTAGAGTCAGGGACATCTGAAGCCACTGCTGTGGCCTTGTCTGCCAATGGCGTTGGTGTGGGGATGGGATGGAGGAGGCCCTGGCCTGCCACCCCACTGTGGGGCAGCTCTGCTGGCTGGCAGGGATGGCTCACATCCTGTGCCTGTGAGCACCTTGGTAGCCACAAGCACATGGGGAGGAAGAAGAAGGCGGGATCAACAGTGGAGGAGGCTGCTGGCCTCCGGAGGATGGGCTGCCTGGGGCATTGAGCATGGGGGGTATGCCAGACCCAGAGGTCCCCGACAATGCTGTGGCTGTGTGCAGCTCCCAGCCTCAGCCAGAGCCCACAGGAGCAGCTGTGGCTGCTCCGCGGCCTGGTGTCAGAGTTCTGCAGGTGTGTTCCCTAGCACCCCCCGCCCCCAATAGACTGGGGCGAGCGGCTTATCCAGCACAGGGATCTGGCAGAAGTGGCGTTTGGGAGGTATTTCCTCGTTTTCCTGGGAGCCTCCTAAGGCCTGTCCGCACATCTCCTCATGCCTCTCTTTTCCCAGGTGAAAGAGCTTGTCCTGGACAACTGCCGGGCGACCGAAGGCAAAATCGATGGCCTCACAGACGAGTTCAAAGAACTGGAATTCTTGAGTACGATCAACATAGGCCTCGCCTCCGTTGCAAACTTACCAAAGTTAAACAAACTTAAGAAGGTAAGGGAGGGGGGCCGTGAAATGTACCTGGGTGCTGGGAGCCTAGAGAGTAGGGCGGGCGGGGGGGGGGAGGCAGCTACTCTGTTGGGAGGCTGATTACAGACAGTTCCAGGGTACTCCCTTGCTGGCCACCTGGGAGAGCAACCAACTCTGCAAAAGCCTGTATTGTCAAAGCCTTCCTGCCTTTTCTCTCCCTGCCTTGTCTAGCTTGAACTAAGCGATAACAGAATCACAGGGGGCCTGGATGTATTGGCAGAAAAGTGTCCGAACCTGACGCATCTAAATTTAAGTGGCAACAAAATTAAAGACCTCAGCACGATAGAGCCGCTGGTGAGTCAGCGGGCGCGGCGGAGGGGGGCGGGTGGGGAATTAGTCCCCCATGTGTCTTCACATCTTTGGCTGTCCTGTGTTGTCTCTGCATCGTCCATAGAGAAACTGTGGCCCGGAGAAGTTAAGAACTTGACCAGGGCCCCACACTGGAGAATGGGCCTTCTGTGTCCAGGCGGGAAGCGAGCCCCAGCCTTGCATTTTGGCTTCAGTTTTTCCTAGTTTCTACTCAGCTTTGGAAATCAGGTTTCTTCCGGCTGATGGTGTGGGGTACCACCCTGTGATGAGGGGGCACAGTCTCAGGATTAAGTCGACCCTGGAAGTGGGGTAGGGATGCCTACAGGAAATCCAGGCGGCAGCCACATAGCCCAGCCTTCGCCTACATACGTGGGCAGCATGCCCAGCTGCCTGGCTGCTGTTAGGCATACCCAGACTTCACTGACCTCCCTGCTAGAAAGAGGGCTGGGGTCACAGAGATGCAAATTACTGCTTTCCTTTGATTTCAAGGAAACCAGCTCTTAGGAGGTGACGCTAGTCTGACTAAATAGCAGCTCTGTGGAACAGGGAAAGCTGCTGTTCATTTGTTAGCTGTCTGGTAAGGATCCCACCTCCGAGCCTCAGGGAAGACTTCGAGACGGTTTCCCTGCCCTGGACACCAGGGGAGAGGCCCTGTGGGTTTGGGTATCCGCACAGCACTCCTGGCTCTCCATGAACACACAGGGTCCTGCTGATAGTCCCAAGCTGCTCTGACTTTACCTGTCTGCGTCATGACTCAGTTTCCCACGCCGTGATCCTCTTCAGGTCTTCTGCTGACCCCCTCCCTGCAAGAAAACAAAGCTAGAAGTCTAGATGTTATACTCTCACTACAAAAGGAAAAAAAAAATCCTAAAAAGTTCTGTGGAAGAGGGGTGGGGTGGGGTACAAGGATGGAGTCGGAATCCTGTGAATCCATGTCATCAGAGGTGAGACACAGACACATTCCTGGCCCAGTTCACACTATCACAGCACACACACACACACACAGGGAACAAGTGTTAGTGTTGAATACAGCTTCGCAGACTCAAGTTCAGCCCATTATCCAGATGACACTGAGGCCTACAGAGCAGTGGCAATGGTGATGGGTCTGGGTGGACCAGGTGGCGGAGTAGAACAAGTCCTCAGCTGTCCACCCTGCCTCGAGCCGCCCCACTATGTCCTGGGCAACTTTTCCTTCCCTCTCATCTTTCCCCCTTGGTTCTCACCTGCCTGTTCTCCCCCGCCCTCCTTCTCCCCCCTCCCGCCCCCCCCCCCACCATGCAGAAGAAGTTAGAGAACCTCAAGAGCTTAGACCTTTTCAACTGCGAGGTGACCAACCTGAACGACTACCGAGAAAGCGTGTTTGAGCTCCTCCCGCAGCTCACGTACCTGGACGGCTACGACCGGGATGACAAGGAGGCCCCCGACTCCGACGCCGAGGGCTACGTGGAGGGCCTGGATGACGACGAGGAGGATGAGGACGGTGGGTGTCGCTCCTCCCGCGCTCAGTCCCCCACGACCTCATTCTCCAGCTAGGTGCCCTCTGCTGGAGAGGGTGGGGCCCCCTGGTGGCCACAACCTGCAGGACAGGGTCTGGGTGGGGAATCCCTCTTGGAGGGTCCCTGAGCTGGGAAGCGGGGGCTGCAGGTGGGGTCAGCCAGCAAGAAGAGACGTGGTGGAGCACCCCTTTCTCAGCCCTCCCCACCGTCCCTCTTGCCCTCGGCGCTGTGTGGCTTCTCTGACTGGGTGGCCAGGTTAATTTTCATTCAACCTGAGGGTCGCTTTGGGGGTGCGAGCCAGCACCCCCTCCCCGGGCCTTGGCGGGCGTTAGAGCCCTGAGCCTCACACTGAGGACGCCCCACCAGCACCAGCTCAGCCATCTGTTCACATTCTGCCCTGATCACACAGAGGAGGAATACGAGGAAGACGCTCAGGTGGTGGAAGATGAGGAGGATGAGGACGAGGAGGAGGAAGGGGAAGAGGAGGACGTGAGTGGAGAGGAGGAGGTGAGTCGGTGGCAGAGCTGTTGTCCCTCGAATTCCCTCACAGATGTCTGTGGTTAGCCCTAGCAGCCCAGGAGCCCTTGTTGGGTAATGGGGGGACCCCTCAGCTGCCCCCGGGGGGGGGAAGCAGTGCCAGGTTGGGGATAAGCAAGCCCCCTACAGCAGGGGAGTGAGCCCTTCCTGAGTGTCACTGCACTGACCCTGAGAAACGAGGCTGGCAGAAGTTCTGGAAGAGTTGGATTAGGAGTGGTGAAGTTACCAGGCACCTGTAGCTCACATCTGTAATCCTTGCTGCTCAGGAGGCTGAGAGCCAGGGATTGCTGCTCCAAGCCAGCCTGCTCAGGAAAGTCTGTGAGGCCCTTACCTGACATTCCAACACCCCGCTGCCCCTTCTTGTCTCCTAGGAGGATGAAGAAGGCTACAACGATGGGGAGGTCGACGATGAGGAAGACGAGGAAGATCTCGGTGGTAAGATGGCCTCTTTGCTCTCTTCTGATGGTGGCCTGGGTGCTCATTGGCCTCCGCTTTGAGGACGACTGGCCGGCCTTCTTCTGGCTGGCCTGCCTCGGTGGGGATTGAGCCGTGGGTAGGGTTTGGACATCTAACCTAGAAGCCTTTTCTTTCTTTACTCTTCCAGAAGAAGAAAAGGGTCAGAAGCGGAAACGAGAGCCTGAGGAAGAGGGCGAGGAAGACGACTAAGTGGAATAACCTATTTTGAAAAATTCCTCTTGTGATTTGACTGTTTTTACCCATGTCCCCTCCCCCCTCCAGATCCTGCCCCCCGAAACTTATTTTTTTCTGATTGTAATGTTGCCGTGGGAACGAGAGGGGAAAAGCGTGCTGGGGGCTGGGGAGGGCCGGGAGGGGGTGGAATAAAATACTATTTTTACTGCCACTCTTTTATTTTTTTTTCCCTCCTTTTTCTTTGTGTCTGGTTTGGTCCCTGTACATGCCGTAGCTGAGTGTATGCCACGTGAATGTTTGTCCCCACTCTGAAAAGAGGGTGGCTTGGAGGAGGTCTCCGGGGTCTCCTTGGAATGTCCCTGGAGCTGGCCAGAAGGCCACGGCTGACACCAGGAGGGGCCAAGCGCCAGCCATTGTCCTTCATGCCTGATTTGGATGATGTGATTTCGGCATTTCTTTTCACCTGCTAGAGACTCCAATGCCCTGGTTTGTAAATAGCAACCCATAAAGGCAGATCTGGCCCTGGGCTGGGACCCTCTGCAACCCTAGACCCTTTCCCTCCCCCATAGATGGCGATGCCCCACTCCACAGAGAATCCAGGCGTCGCCCTTGGCAGCTGTGACCCCACCCCCCCACCCCCCAGATCTGAAACCCAAAGGCTTTGAGTTACAAGTCAGATGGGTTTGGTATTTATGATTAAGAGAACAAACAAACCCTTAAACTTCAGTCTCTTTAAAAGGAATTAAAAAAAAAAAAACTGTCCTGACTTGTGTAAAATACTAGAATGCTTGTTTTACAAAAACAGCAGGAGGCTTCTTTCTCGTCTATCTGTGCTTAGAATGTTTTTACATACCTAAGTGCTGGACGTTGCATGTCGGCTGGGTTTTTTTGTTTGTTTTCAGGTTTGGGTTTGGGGGTTTTTGGTTTTTTTTTTCTTTCTTTCATATATCAAGCACGGAAAAAAAACTAACGCAAAATTGTATTTTCTTACCTAGTGGAAATCTGAACTGATCGAATTCCTAGTGAATGTACAGGTGGTTGCCCTGCCCTTTTTTTCCAGTTTGCTTTAGAAGTGAAGTGTTACTTCCTAACCCTTCCATCTGTATAAAGAGCGCCACACCCATCCTCCTCCCGCCCCTCTGGAGAGCCAACCTTTGCGTTTTATGTCTGTTTGTCATTGATAAATTTCAATAAATCTTTTTATACAAATTTTGGGGGATCGCTTCTTTGAGTCCCGTGGACTTGACCTCGACGAGACGCACGACCTTTCAATCTATTCAAATTGACTTGGAAAATAAAAGCAAAGCCAGGCACAGTGGTTCCCTCCTGTAATCCTGGCCCCCAGGAAGCAGATGGGAGCCGGAGGATCAACAGAGGCCAGCCTAGATTAAGTAGTGAGTCCCACATTATCTTGGGCTGCATAGCAAGATAAGGTTCTCAAAAAATTGCCAAGAAAGAAGCAAAGTACCAGAAAGTCAGGTCAGCCCCCTCTTAGAACCTTGTTCTGAATACCTTTCATTGTTTTGTTTTTATAATGCCAAAAGAATGCATGCTTGACAGAATGTATAGAACAGTTCACAAATCCAAGATTTAGACGTGGTTTCCAGTTAGTTTCAAAAGGTGGAAGAGTATTCCGATCACTTTGGATTTGCTGAAAATAAAACCACAGTTTTTTGGTTTTTTTTTTTTTTATTCATGGAGTTCCTAGTACAAACAGAAGTCCATAGTGCTTATGAGGCTCATGTATGAATTTCCTCTAGGTTTAGTTCTATTAATTTACCTGGTTACACACACACACAATCGTTACCTCACATCCTTGAACCCCACAAAGTCTTTTCGTCAGGATAGGGTCCCAGCAATTCAGAATGCTTCCAATGTAGCATCACCCTGCTGGGCAGTGCCTTGGCACCGGCCCTGAAGGTGCCCAGAGGCACCAGATACAGGATGGTGTGGCAGTGTGCCCTGGTGCGACAACTCCCTCAGTAGAGGCTCTAAAGATGAAGTGACTGACAGGGAAATAAGAATGTAACTGCAAGATGAGTAGGTTATTGTGGGCGGTGGAGGGACACCCTTATCAAGGCCTGAGCAGTCCTGTTCAACCCCTCAGCAAGATCAGTCACTGCCCTTTTTGCAGATGAGGAAGACTAAGGCTGAGTAACTACAATTACAAAGAAGAAGAGTTCTCGGGATGTTTCCATTCCATCGCACTTGAATGGCAAGGAGGAAGAGGCAGCTCAGCCAGAGGACAGGAATAGGATGGGGGATAAGGAGGGGAAGAGCTAGCCTATGTGCTCAGATCTCAGCCTCTTATGGAGCTGGGATTACAGTTGTGAGCCACTGGCACCTGGCTCAGAATGACACTCAGGTCTTGATGTGCAGCCTGAGAGGCTAGTCCACGTTCACTGGCAACTGATTGCAGAATCTCAACTGGCTGGGTACAGGGAAGGGGAGACAGAGTCAGCAGACGCTGTGTTCCTGCTCATGCTCAATCGCATCCCCGCTCTGCAGGTGAAGAAGTGCCGCTCCTCTCCACTCAGGAAGGCCGGGGCTGGTACTGGAATGGAGCTTTCTGCTCTGCAGTGTGCACGGAGGTCTTCCCTCAATTTTCAACGGCTGTGCAGCCCATGCTGACTGTACCAAGATTCGTCTCGCCCAAATTTTGACTAATTTCCCAGGATCCCGCTCTCCTGCCCAGCTCGCACAGCCCTCCCACGCACCTGCAGCTCGCCAACTTCCAAGCGGTGACAAAACCAGGCTCTCCAGAGTCCCAAGGAACAGATGTCTTGCAGAAGAAATGTGCTGAACCTCAGAAACAAGGAGAATGAGTCTCTGCTCCTGGAGGGGAAACCCTGAATGTCCTCAAGGGCCAGCAGCACCTCTTCCAATGCATAAGGTGTCAGCCCTGAGCCAAAGCCAGCCCTCTGTGACCTTGGACAACTCACCTCTCAACTGTCCATGTCCTGGAAGCATCAGGAGACCGGAGCGTGCCTGGTGAGGGGGCTAGTACAGACAGAGGAGGGATTGCTAAGGTTCTGGACAAAGTCGGGGCTATGGATGTACTACCTGAAGACCGGAGACCCTGCTATCCACAGGAAGATAGTTCTAAGGAGCCACTGAGAAGAGACTGCAAACCCTCAGGGGTGCATAGAGTTCAGTCCTCTAAAGTTACTCCAATTTACCTCCATCATACATCCTGCCGGTCTTAGCATCTACGACTCGAAGCCGCTGCCACTGAATAGCCCCTGTGCTCACCCAAAACTACACCTTATTTCAGGCTCTTTATGTCAGAGATTTTGGAAGCTTGAGGCATTTCCCCCCCATAACACCATCCGTCTGCTAAAGTCACGCCTGGCTCTCAATAAATCTCAGGTTTGCACTTTCGCGCTTCACTTAAGCACATTGGACTTTGCTTTTGCAGCACTATTTGCTTTATTTCGGGCGGGGGCGGGGGGGGACATGGATTTTTCACAAAACGGGCAAGGAGACACCCAGCAGACTTCCACACACTGACAATAACAGGACTTGAATGTTTGCAGCAACTGAGCTGTGCAATGCATGCGCAGGAATTTAAATTTTCTTTTGGGAATGGAGATGTGGTGGAGCCAGTGCTGGCCCAGCCAGTGCAAGGCCCTGAGTTCAAGTCCTAGGAAAAGCCACCACAAACAATAACAAAAGCTTAAAGTTTTCATTTTGAGTTTTTGCTTGATTTAAAAAAGTATATTGTTAGTCTCTGTTGATTGCGCTTGGTCCAAACTGCGTGTAATAAATCTGCAAGCAAGGCTCGCTGGCAGTAGAAGCTTGGTCCTTGGAGACAGGATGCCTCATACCTCAGAGCAGTTAAGAGGAGAGAAAAAAGGCTGCAGGCAGAGAGAGGAGACAGATTTGCTGGTGGAAGATGGGAAAAAGAGAGTGCACAGCAGGACACCCGGGAAAGTGAAGAAAAATGAAATCATGTCATTTTTAGGAAAGCAGACATTGAACAAGATAAGCCAAGTTGAGAAAGCCAAGTATTAGTCAGATACAGATGGCTACGCCTGTAATCACAGCTACTCAGGAGGCTGAGATCTGAGGATTGCAGTTCAAAGCCAGCCTGGGTAGGAAAGTCTGTGAGACTCTAATCTCCGATTAATCACCAAAAAGCTGGAAATAGAGCTGTAGCTTAAATGGAAAGGACCAACCTTGAGTTAAACTAAGGGAGAGTGGCCTGGCCCTGAGTTCAAGCCTTAGTACAGGCACCAAAAGAAAAAAAAAAGGCAAATACTACAGTTTTTGCTCACTGATGAAATCTAGATTTTTACTTTTTTAATTTATTTATTTTTTATTTTTTTTGGTTGTAAGGCTTGAATCTGGGCCTGGGCACTGTCCCTGAGATTTTCAGGTCAAAGTGAGTACTCGCCCACTTGAGCCACAGTGCCACTTCCAGTTTTTTTTTTTTTTGGTGGTTAATTGGAGATAAGAGTCTCACAGACTTTCCTGCTAGGGCTTGGCTTGGAACCATGAACCTCAGATCTCAGCCTCCTGAGTAGCTAGGATTACAGGCATGAGCCACGAGCACCCAGCTTGGAATCTAGATTTTAAAGAAATAGAATGTCCCTGTCCCTTCCTCTCTCTCCTGCCATACTATAGTTGTATCTTTGAAGACTATCTTGCCCCTGACTCTATTCTCTGTCTCTGTGGTCAGATGGAAATCTCTGAAATCAGAAGCCCAAACAAACCATTCTTTTTTCTTTTTTTGCTGGTCTTGGGACTTGAACTCAGGGCCTAGGTACTGACCCTGAGCCTACCACTTGAGTCCCAGTGCCATTTCTGGCTCTTTTCTGAGTAGTTTATTGGAGATAAAGAGTCTCACAGAGTTTTCTACCCCGGCGGGCTTCAAACCATGATCCTCAGATCCTAGCCCCCTGAGTAATTAGGATTACAGGAATGAGCCACCAGTACTTGGCCCAAACCTTTCGTCTTTAACTTAACACACTCAGGTATTTGTCCTAGCGAGGAAAAGTCTGACTAACAGGTGGCTTTTAGAAAGTTGGCCACAATCTTAACTCAATAAGATCTTTTATTCCATTTTATCTTCACATTGTGATTTCATCACAAAATCTCTCAGACTTGGAGAAAACTTGAAAGCATGTTTAGATTCTATAATTACCATTTTAGTATCTTTACTTTATCACATGTGCATTAATCCATCTAACGTTCCATGCATTCCTAAATAAATTC